AGCCTCCCCAGCGCTGGGATTGCAGGCATGTGCCACTGCACCTGGTTTTGGTGGCTGGCATGGCATGCAGTACCAGGGATTGAATTTGGGTCCTTGTGCTTACCAGGCAGGTGATTAGACCACTGAGCTATCTCCCTAGCCCCAAATCTGATTATTTTTTGTTTGTTTGTGTTTATTTTTTGAGACAGGATCTTTCTGTGTAGTTCAGGCTGACCTTGAACTGACTAAGTGGTGATCCTCCTGCCTCAGCCTCCCTAGCTCTGGGAGTACAGGCATCCACCACCATGCCCGGCACACTTTAATTCTTTTCATCCCCTTCTTCTCACATTTCCCTCCCCCTCCCTCCATCTCTTGATTCTCCTTCACACTTGAAAAAGAGCTCAGTGTACCAAGAGCTTATTATGTGTGACACACTTCACAAAGTTCTTTACTTGAATAAAATTTCAAAACATTTTTTTAAAAGATGAAAAGCTCCCTATTAAAAAATAAAAAAATAAATAAAAAACCCAGTTCTGGAAAAAAAAAAAAAAAAAGAAGAAGTTCCCTATTTCCCATTATCTATCTTATTTTCCAGTAACACTTATTATTTTTATTTTTTTAAATGTATTTTGTGCAGGGCTTCACTATGCAGCTCAGGCTCATAGTGATCCTCCTGTTTTCAGTCCTTCAAATGCTGGGATTACAGGCGTTCACCACCATGCCCCATCTGGGTGGGCTCAGCGCACCTGGGGGTGGGGCCAGCATGGCATGTGGTCTGGGAATCAAACACCTGTCCCTGCGCTTGTCTAAGCAAGTGCTTAGTCCATTGAACTATCTTACTGTCCCTTTTTCCCCCAGTAACGTTTATTTTTTTTAAGAATAATTTTCTGGGGGCCAGGAATACAGCTCAGTAAAATAAGCATTTACCTGGCAAACACAGGGTCCTGAGTTTAATCCCCAGTACCGCAAATAAATAAATAAATAAAAAGTAAATAAAGAAAGAAAGAATAATTTTCTGGACATGGTGGCACATGCCTCTAGTCCCAGCACTGGGGAGGCTGAGGCAGGAAGATCACTGTGAATTCAAGACCATCCTGAACTACTTAGTGAGATCCTGTCTCAAAAACAAACAAAAACTTTTTTTTTTTTGACAAGATTGCCCTCTTTTTTTTTTTATTTATTTTTATTTATTACATTTATTTATTGTGTGTGTGTGTGTGTGGCCAGCTCAGCCCACCAGGGGGCGGGGCTGGCTGGCATGTGGTGCTGGAGGATTGAACCGTGGTCCCTGTGCTTTGCTTAGCTTAGCTTGTTCTAAGTAGGTGCTTTAGACCACTGAGCCATCTCTCCAGCCCCAAGATTGCCCTCTTGCCAAATGTTCTTGTATTAAGCTACACTACCTTCTCAAGTGCTAAATAGTTCTGTTGCTAGTATGGATTACACAGAAGTATTTATTTAGATTTTCCTTTATCTTCTGAAGGCAAGAGTACTATTTCTCCTAAATGCTGAACATCCACTTCATGCCAGCTACTGCCTAGGCCTGGGAGGGCCAGTGTAGGGGGCCACTGAGCACCTGACAATGTGGCTGCTTCAAATTAAGTGTGAGGTACTTGAGTTAGCTTTCTGTGACTGCTAATGAAGATATTCAGGTTGATGAGGATGGTGGGAGAGATGGCAGGTTAAGAGCGAGTTTGTCCTTTCCTCAAATACAACCCTATTTTTATTCTATTGGATTCTCAAGGAGCCAGGATGTCTTCGGCTGGTGGGATCTCGCCCTGGGCACCACAGCATCAAGAGGCCACTGAGGCCTCAACTGTGACTGGAGTCACGTGGGATTATGTTGCTGTATAACATAGCCAGCCTGCATAGTAAGATTCTAGGCCTCAGACAAGCCCTGGTCACAATTTAATTATGAAATGATTTTTCCCCCAATAGTTATATAGAATGGCCCTTGGCAGATTCCCCCCTTTTGGTTTTGTAATTGCAGCAGCTGAAATGGTGTATACAGGCTCAGATGGTCTACACAGCAACAAACATTTTCAGGAATTTGTGGGAGGTCTCGTTGGTCAGCGTGAAAGCCTCCTGCGTTGTCTTCTTTACTGGTTGTAGATTTCATCTTAACTGTTTTGATATCCATTTTTCGAGGGGGTGGGTGTACCAGGAATCGAACTTAGGACCTTGTACTTGCCAGGCAGGTACTTGTGCCACTGAGCTATATCCCTGGCCTAAAAGTGTCATATTCATTTTTTGTTGTTGTTAACTGCTTCAAGCTGGAAAGGGTCAATGTAAACAGAAACTGCCACCAAGAACCTTCTCCAGAAAAATTTTTCAAAAACTTATTTAAATCTCACAATGAGAAAACCTATAATTTCATTTTGCTCCACATTTATGACTTACATTATATTTGTCAGACAGTGCTGTCTAGGTGTTTTCTATACTCAGAGTAAATGAATATACCTGGCTATACTGTCCTCACCTCTAGGGAGAGCTACCGATGTCAGCTAGGAAAGAATCATATGCACTCAGGGTTTGATGGAAATTTATTGAAATTCAGTGTAGTCTTTTCATTTTGTGCTTGAGAATAATGAGTCCCAGAGAAATTTTGATGCCCAGTGTACCATACATTGAATAACGCCGGAAAGCAAGGGGTGACTGAATATTAGCCTCCCCCGTCATCATCTGTGGAAAGTGCCTTGTGAGGGACAAAGCATCCAAGGATGGCACCTGGGATTCAGTGAGGTTCTTTTTTTTTTTTTTTTTTTGGTGGAACCAGGATTGATCAGTGAAGTTCTTTTTCCCCAGTTTATGGACCTATTTCAGCTATTATGGCCTCATTCTTTGCAACCAAACAGCTGTCCAGGAAAACACCCAGATCAAGCTGTGAACTCATCTAGCAGTGACCAAGCTGGGCTGGGCAGGGAGGCCCAGGACAGCCTCTGGGACAGTGGGGGATTGTGACATCATCAGTGATGGCCTCAGTTTCCTGCTGCTGATCCTGCAGTACCAGCAGTTACTGCAAGTCCATTCCTCTACCATGAGTGTGGAGCAGCTAAAATCATCAGATCCACATGTAACTTGAGACGACAGACTGGCTCTGGTAAATATTCCCGTTCTTTAATTTGGAAAGTGACCCACTACAATACTGTTACTTTTTTTCTGTATGAAGGGGATAATGGTGCCTAATTTCCTAGGGACAGTTTTTGAAGTTCTTCCCTTTTTCCAGATGAAGGATTCCTCTTCTACACATTCACACATGGAGGGAAGAAGTCCTAGGCAGCCCTCCATTAGCTTTGTTGACATATCTTTTGAGGAGGAGACGATTGGAAAGCTTTGGTTTCCAACCCCTAACCTGATGAGTTTGGCATAAATCTGGGGGGATTATGGAGGATACTGTAGAGTTCTTTTTTTTTTTTTTTTTTTTTTGGTGGAACCGGGGATTGAATTCAGGCCCTTGTGCTTGCCAGGCAAGCACTTATTCTACTGAGCCATCTCTCCGGCCCCCGTAGACTTAAGACTACACTAGGATAGAGCTGACCCTGAGGTCTAACCATGTCTGCCTTACTCTTTTAGGCATTGTTTATGGGTCTGGGGATGTAGCTTCTAGTGACAGAACCACATGCCTAAGTGCATAAAGCCAGTCATTTGATCCCCAGCATTGTAAATAAACCAGCACACAAACAAATGATGCTATGATTCTGAATTGATAAGAATCTAAATGCCATGTTTTACTTAAATCCAAATGGGTTGTATAGGTCAGATAGGTCGTTTCATTTCCATTTCCATATTTATAAATAAAAACCCAAGTCTTGACTCAATAAGCATATTTATGTAAATGTTAGGCAAAATTGAATCCACCCAAAATTGAGGGGTTGTGGTAGCACATCCCCGACTAATGCCTTTGAATTGTAACTACGCATACACAGCCTGTGGGCTTAATTTTAGCTAGTTGAACTACCAGCAATGTTAGCAATCTGTCTTCAAATTTCTGCTTGTTCTTCCTGCTAAGAACAAATTCTTGAAGTGTAGAATCCTTAGTTTTGTGTTTCTTTAAACAGAACTGTGACTATTTTATCAGATTCATTTGGACATGAATTTGTAAGCTTTTGTAGCAATGGCAACAATTATTTTCGACTTGAATGCTTTATCTTCAAATAAAGCATATTGTTTGCTATAGGTGTACAGCAAATATATACGTGTGGGAAGTTGGAGACAGGATAGGCCTCCACTAGATGTTTCCATCATAGTTCTCATCATTGTATGGAGACTGGTCTTATAAAAAAAAATCTCTTCAAATTCTGTACCTGAAAAAAACCATAAAGCCTTCACTCAAATATTTGAAATCTCATGAAAAGTCATATGAACATGTTAATGAATATCCTTTTGGTAAATATTGTAATTTATGCTTTATCGTCAGGACTCTTTTCCATTTTAAAAATAACCAGGACAATCTTAACAAATGTGTTTCTCTCACACAATGATGATGATTGAGTAATGATGCTCCATTTCACATGCAGTACTATAGCTAGGGAGTGCGGCGATGGGTACAGTTGCTACTACATTTACCATCGGGCCATATGGTACAGTTTACATCTGCCAAGGAGAACAGCCATTGCACACAATGGAAAACAATAGAGGCTTTTAATTTAATTTAATTTAATTTTTTGTGGTGCTCAGGATGGGTTCCAGGGCCTCACCTATGCTGGGTAAGCGCTTTACCTCTGTGCACCATCCCCAACTTAGCCACTGTCTGAAGACCAATCAATGACAGTTAACTTTTCTTTTAGTTTGTTTAATCAGTTATTACTGTGCAGCAATACATTTTTCACTTAGGTAAGAGCCCCACTTTTACACTAAAAATTCAAAGGTGGGTGCAACCAGGGTCTCAGAGCAGCGCACAGTGTGCAGGGAAGGGGATCCTGGAGGCAACTGATTATCAGATGATGTCACACTAAGTGTGACAGAAGCGTATGCTAGGTGTCATACAAGTGCAGAAGGAGAAACATGCCTAACAGCTGGAGCCTAGGGATGAGGAAGGAGTCAATCACCAAGACCATCTTTGAGTTGATTACTGAACTCTGGGTAGGAAATACATTGTGGTGATTAAGAAAATAGACGAATTCATTGCATGTGTTTAAATCCCAGCACCCTGACCCTGTGCATTCTCTCTCTCTCTCTCTCTCTCTCTCTCTCTCTCTCTCTCTCTCTCTCTCTCTGAAATAGGGATAATAACCTGACACAGCTTCAGGGGTCCAGTGAGGATTACAGGAGGGTCAGGGCTGAGAGGTAGCATAGGCCCCTCATTTAGTGTCAGGACTGTGCCAGGGATAGCAGAATGAGAGAGTGTGAGGGAACGCCGAGGACAGAGCAGGTTTTGCTTGTCAAAACCAATCCATGAGCTGAATTTATGTGAAGGGTGGTAGAGAATGTCAGGGGAGTAGACAGATTAAGAGAGACCATTCTATACCAAAAAGGCTCAGGCTAAAGCAGTCTGTAAATTTTAAGAAATTCAGATTTACATCATAGAAAAACAACACTGGTCCACTGGAAAATAGAGTAGCACCTGGGAGATTAGTTAAGAGGAACAGTGGTTATGTGAAGAAAGATGTGAAAGACTTGGCCAAGGGATGGAGGGTAGAGATGAGATGTGAAATCTACTTAGGAGGCAAAATTGATGACAGCTGGTAATAGCTTAAGTGTGTGTGTGTGTGTGTGGGGGGTGTCTTTAGTTTGGATGATTTGGAGAAGACAGAAGGAAAAGCCAGTTCGGGGATAAGATCTTGGATTTGTCAAGCTTGAAGGTCCAGTACAATAACTAGAATTAGAGTGTAGGTCTGCCACTCAGGAGCTAGAAGTTAAAGATTTTGGACTCGCTGGGCTACACATTGGCCTTGTGGGAATGTGAGAGCATGACACAGGTTGTACACAGCAAGAGACACACCGGTGGTTCTATAAAGTCCAACATTTCAGAGTCAAAGAGTGAAGCTAGCAAAGGAGAGAAGCTACAGAGGAAGAAAGAGATGCAGACGCAAATGAATTATGGGAAAAGTCAGAAATCTAAGGAAGTATTCAGATGCAAAAGTGAGGCCAAGAGCTGCCCCTTGGCAATTAGGAGAGCATAAAGGAATTCCAGCATTATGGTTTGTGTCTAGGTGCTCTCCCAAAGCCTCATGCAGTTATGGGGTGGACTTCTACAGTTTGTGATTAACATGATCTGCTGGGATTCTGGGTGTAAGTGCTGCTGGGATGACTGGGTGTGAGTGTTACACCCAGCCTGGGGCGGGTATCCTGAATGCAACTTAAGGGAGACAGACTTGCTCTCTGCAGCCATTGTTGCTGCTGCTCCTCTTTTGGTCTCTGTTTTTTGCTGCTGCCATGTGCTTCTCTGCCTTGGAGCCAGCAGAGTGTGGACTGAAACCTCCACTGACTGTGAACTAAATAAACCTTTCCCTAATTTTGAGCGTCAGGTGTTTGTCCCAGCAACAAGAGAAGAGTAACTGAGACACCCACGAACTATTGTTTCTGTGAAGCAAAACAAAATGGGACAAGAGATATAGAATCCTCTTCATGAAGACCCTAGATGTTTGTTGATTTTGAGGTCAGTCTAGCATTTTAGTTGCTAGGTGAATTCCAAGGAAGCCTCCACGATGTGGTCCATATCCAGCTTCCTGCACAAAACAGATCAGGCCTGCCTTCCAAGCCAGCAAGAGGCCTTGCCACATCGATACCCGACACTAACTATTGGTGGGCTTGGGGGCGTCCTGGGTGTTCTCAATGCAAGGCTCTTTGCAGAAGTGCTAGGCCCTCAGCAGCTACCAAAAAAAGTAGCTGTTTTGATAATACCAAAATTGTCAAGCAGTAGAGGTGATCTGGTACTGTTTGCCTGTGTTGGGGGAAGACAGTTGGCATGACAATGGTGTCTACTCAGGCTGGTCTTGTTATCAGATGTATATAAACTCCTGGTTCAGCCTCAGGCATGATTTTCTTAGCACATTTTCTCTACTACCTTTTTTTTTTTTTTTTTTTTTTTTGGTTTGTACTGGGAACTGAACCTTGCTCTTGCCAGGCCACAACTGTGCCACTGAGCTATCTCTCAGGCCTATATTCTTTCTTCCTTCCTTGGTGTGTAAAGTTGATCTGGTTGGGGACAGGGAGCCCTGGGGATTGAGCCACAGCCTTAGGCAAGCTTGGGACTTATTCCATCACTGAGCTACATCTCTATTCCTTTTTTATTTTGAGATAGGCTTTCTTTCAGGTCCTCAAACTAGCCCTGGATTAGGTGATTTCCTGCCTCAGCCTCCTTAGTAGCTGAGTTGTGGCTGGCCTGGAGAGCAAATGTCAAAGGCCAAGGAACCATTTCAAATGAGTCCTTTTGAATTTGGAGCACGGCTTTGTCCGTTTGATCCTCAGAGAGGAGTCCTGGTACTCCCCAGCCCTAGCCGATTTATAATGCAAGGTAGGTCATGCTTGGACTATCAACTGGGCATGACATAACCTTCACTGAAAAAAATGTCCTATTGCTACCTTCCCAACTTATCCTGGGAAGGCGAGCTTTCAGAGGCGCTTTTAGGGCAAGTAGTAGGCAGCCAAAGATACCAGACCTTAGCTTTCCATGTGTGAGGTCCTCTCATGCCCAGTTCGCCTCCGGGGAACTACAGGGTATCTTCCCTGTCTCCCGGGGACACTGAGCTCTGGGAGGAGCCTGCTATTGCACAGGGCGTTGGGGCGCCCGCAGAGCTGGACCCAGGTCTCTTCTGGTATCTTCACATGGAGGCGATGCCCTTCAGGTGCTGGAAGTGAGTGGGGAAGGGGCACAGGTGACGGTACTATTTCCTCCTTGCTTCTTTTTTGGCATTGATGGCGGGAGGTGGTTTGGGCCGCCGACCGCCTCCACACCCTCTCGGCGCTCCCCGCAGCGCAGGGTGCCGGCGCGGACCGCCTGCCCGCGTGCGGCGCGGCCCCGTCGAGCGCGGCAGGAAGGAGCGCAGCGAGGCGGAGGAGG